GAACTATACAATGGAAATGTAAGCCACATGTATAGTTTGATTTAGTGTTCTAGTGGCCATAGGTGAAAATAATTTGAATGCTGTATTTTATTTAACTCAATATATCTAAAATATTAGTGTTTTGGCTGCATAGTATTGTGTGAAGAGTACAGTTTTTGAATACTTATTTCTGACAAAGGATGCTGCAATTACTGGACAAAAGTATAATGAGACACAGGATATGTACTTAGTCTCAAAAAATATCTTTCCACCAGATACTTACTAATTACAAAGGGAAAAATGATAGCTTTGTCATGGAGAAACTTGGCGGATAGCACCTTAGTCAAGTGGCCAGAATTATCAGTAATTAGACAGATTGACATGTGCCTACTTATACAGTGTTCTAGGAAGGACATATCACTTCTGTGGTATTCCTATCAAATATGATATAACTTAAGTGTAATCTTGAAGAAATATCAGGCACACCTGTTACTGAGGGATGTGCTACAAAATGTATATTACAAAGTATTGTTCAAAATATACTATTTTGAAGTACTGTTTGAAAAGATACTTCTAAATGTCAGATACGAAAGTTAAGGACAGAGGAAATGCTCCAGATCAAAGGAGGTTAGAGACATGAATTTCTTTATTTGGTAATTGTACTGTGGTTATGTAAGAGGAAGATTTTGTTTTTAGGAAATCATACTGAAGTATTTAGAAGTAAAGGGGCATCATGGTCTGCAACTTAATCTCAAATGTTTCATTTTGTCACTATCACAAGTGCTAACCTGTTTGTTAATACTCACAAACTCTGTCTTCTCTCTTGTTAAGGTGAAAGTATTCCTGTCACAGTCTAAGCTCAGCTCCTCCACTTGTGTTGCATTACTAGGCTCTCCTTCACTACTCGCTTACTCTAATCGGCATGTAAACATGCTTTACATTCATTTGAAAGCACCACAGTTTCGTTGATCCCATGGCTCCTTGTATCTACAATCCCATTTCCCAGCTACTCTCCAGGAAAAACTTCTTTAATGATTTGCTTATTCTACTTTTTCTTTCGTTTTCTCTTTACTCCAAATGGTCGTTCTTTACCACCACTATGGAGAACTGGTCTTTACCCATCTTGCTAAATTCGGTGTTTTCACCCCTCCCTCTCCAGCCTGTGAGCATCATTAGACCCAGTTGACACACTGTGAAATACTTTTTTCTCTTTGTCTTCTTAATACCAGTCTTTTGGATTTCTTTCTGCCTCACTGGTAAGTCTAGTTCCTGTGCTTGCATCTCTAATTGCTAGGGTACTCGTGGACTCCCTCCCTCCTCCATAACCGCTCCCTAGGTTGATTTCCTCTACTTATGTGGCATTCAATATCAACTAACTATACACTGATGAAGTCCAAATTTATACCTCTAGCCTTGAGTCCTTCCCTGACTTCTAGTCTCAAGCAAGTGAAATCTGAAATCTCCACTTGGATGACCAAAGAAATTACAAACTTGATATACCCAAAATTGTACTTCATTTCTGCGCTTACTCCTGCTCCTCTCAAATACTGCCTTATCCCGGGAAATGGTACCATCACCTGCTTAGAACAAAACACTAAAAATGAGGCTTGATTGTACAGTTTACCTCATATCCACATTCAGTTCATCAGCATATCATGTTAGTGCTACCTTTGAAATATATCCTAATTTTTTTTTTTTTTTGACCAACTTCTTACTCTCCCCACTGTTGCAATCCCAATCCAAGTCGTCATCAGCCCTTGCTTGGACTGTTGGTTAGAGTCCAATGTCTGGTCTCCCTAGTTTCACTCTTACTTCTGCCCTCAAGTACACAAATCTTCAAGAGTGATCTTTAATGGTAGCAGTCTGTTTACATGACTCTTGCTTCTTACTGTTTTTTTTTTTTTTTTTTTTTTTGAGGTCTCGTCTGTACCAGCTGGATCATGCCAGATCTCACTCACTGCACTCCCCCCGTTCCCCTCCCTGCCCACCCCGATAGCTGGACCACCCCCCCCTCCCCCTTTTTTGTTTTTAGTAGAGACGGTTTCCCGTGTTACCAGATCTCAATCTCCTACTATGACCCCGTCTCGCCTCCCAATGCTGGATACAGCTTAGCCACCCCGCCAATTAAATTCTTATTACTGAGGTTTATATACCCAGGACCTGTGGTGTTCTTCCAGAAAGATAGTTTTCCTAAGACTCTTCTTGGCAAACTTACAGATAAGGTTTATGGATATTTTTGTTTTGTTGTTTTTCCTACACAGTGTTGGTCTGGTTTTTTAAAAATAGGAAGATGAGGCTGGATGTGGTGGCTCATGCCTATAATCCTAGCACTTTGGGAGGCTGAGATGGGTGGATTTACTTGAACTTAGGAGTTAGAGACCAGCCTGGACAACATGGCAAAAAAAAATTCAGCCTAGTATGGTGGTGCATGCCTGTATTCCCAGCTACCTAGGAGGCTGAGGTGGGAGGATTGCTTGAGCCCAGGGTGGGGTGGAGGTTATAGTGAGCTGAGTTTGCGTCACTGCACTCAAGCCTGGATGACAGTGAGACCCTGTCTCAAAAAAAAAAAAAAAGAGGGTGGGGGGGAGATTTTACATTGAAAAAGAAAAACCTAGATTTTTTTCTAAAACATTAGGAGACCTGACCACACTGGCCCTGTATTCATTCATAGCCACAACAGGATAAGTAGTGGCTGACCCCTTCTAAATGAAGCATATGTTTTCCAATTTGCCGGTCTCCACCATTCCCTAGTGTATGTTGTAGTCAGCCAGATATATTTAGGAAGATAACCTGCCTTTTGAGTTCATGACCCCTGCCCTGGAATAAGTCGTTCGTTGAACACATATTTATTGAATAGAAGTCTATTTAGCACTATTCTAAGTCCTGGAGGTAAAATAGTAAATAAAGCCGTGAACTCATGGATTATACCTGTCTTGGGACAGATAGTCAATGCATATGTAATTAAATACATATATAATGTCACGTGGTGATAACTGCCATGAAGAAAAATAAAGCAGGATAAGGGGATATAAAATGGTGGATGGTGCTGTCTTAGAATGCATAGGGAAAACCCCTATTTGAGGATTTGACATTAGAACAGAGGCTGGAATATAGTAAGGGATGAAGCCTTGTAAATATTTTGAAGAAAATCATTTTGGTGTGGGAGCCGTGAGAGGAGAATGTGTTTAGTATGTTTGAATGACAACAAGAAAGACCTGCCAGACTGCAGTGCAGTGAATGTGAAGTGGTAGGAAAGAAGGTTGGCGAGGGAAACCGGCTCATGTGATGCAGGGCCAGAGAGGCCATGGTGGGCTTTGGGATTTTGCTGTGAGGTAGAAAACTCTTGAAAGGCTTTGAATAGGAAGTGACATGATCTTACTTATTTTCAAACAATCCTTCTGCCTTCTGGTGGTGTATAAATTACAGCAGGGACTAGTGTAGTAGGTGGGGGAGTTGTCTGGAGGTGGTTACAAGAGTGAGCAATAGTGGTGACTTAAACTAAAGATAGCTGTGAAAGGCTGAGTAGTTGGACTAGAATTTGAAGATAGAGCCTACAGTGTTTTCCGATGGATTTGATACAGGATGCAGAAAAACAAGAGGAGTCGAGGCCAGGTTTTCAGCCTGAGCAACTCTAGGTAGATAGTAGTGCCGTTTAGTGGTATGGTAAACGCTAGGAAAGGGGGCATCAAGCTTCTTTTTGGAGATGTAAAATTTGAGAATCCTATTTGATGTCAAAGTAGAGACAGACTATAAACTTCATCTAGAGGATAAGCTTATATAGCTTTGTAATGTAATGAGTCTTTTTTTTTTTTTTTTTTTTTAAGGACTCGATTAGTAAAATATCCCGGAGGTCTTTGAGACCAAGGGCGTAGGGTTTGTTTTCTTACTGTTTGTGGGATATAGTACCTCACTTGAATTTGATGCTCACTGTGGTTTTTTTTTTTTTTTTTTTTTTAAGAATCCAGAAATTGTGCTGTGGCTCCATCCCCTTTTGAACCATTATTCTGTTATTTTAGGATTCTATCTACATTTTTATTTGAGGCAGAGCCTCACTCTGTCACCCAGGCTGGATTGCAATGGCGCGATCTCTGCTCACTGCAGCCTCCACCTCCTGAGTTCGAGTGATTTTCCTGCCTCAGCCTCCCAAATAGCTGGGGTTACAGGCACACGCCACCATGCCCAGCTAATTTTTTTGTATTTTTATTGTAGACGGAGTTTCACTGTGTTGGCCAGGCTGGTCTTGAACTCCTGACCTCAGGTAATCTGCCTGCCTCGGCCTCCCAAAGTGCTGGGATTGTAGGCACAAGCCACCGTGCCTAACCCTATCTATGTTTTTATAGGAATTATAGTGGCAGAAACACTGTTTTAATGGGGCTTATGACTTGTTAATCAGATCAGCCAGATGACAGTAAATGTATTTTCTTCAAAGGAAGTCCAGCAAATCACTTAATTTGTTAATGACTCAGCAATGAAATCATTTAAAAAATGATTTGGGGGATGGGGGTCGTATGTCTGAATGGCTCAGTCTTTTTCCTTCCAGTGGACTGTAGTGGAACATGGTTTTGCTCTCACTTTGAATAATTTTCTTTGAGAAATCTTAACTGTAAGCAGTCATTTAATAATTTTTTAAGTAGTCTTATCTAAATCTTGCAGCCTTGTCCTTAAACAGTAATTACTGTATATTTACTATTCACCTGTGAATGTGAGAATACTTCGTGAGAATTATTACTTTGTGATATTTTCATAAGCACTTACACTTATGTGGCAAATGAACGTATTAAATTGCCTAAGGACAAGCAATTGAAAGTAAGGACAGAGACAACATTAGGTGTTTTATGTGTATGCCTTCAAGAAAAGCTTGGGTGTATCCTAGTAATATTTAGACAAGCAGGATGACCTCCCATTTCTGTTTCTTTATTAAATAGTGATTTTGTAGAGAACTATAAAGAAAAGTTTTATATTTTGCCACAATTTAAAGTTTTGTTGCTATTCATGAGCCTGATTATTCCCTTTTTGTATAGGAAGATTTTCAGTCTATGACTTATGGATTTAAAATGGCTAACAGTGTGACAGATCTTCGAGTTACAGGTAAAATTATTTTTAAAGATAATTCACAAGTTTTACATTTTCATATGTTTCCTTTTAAAACTTACTGTTTCTTTTTCTAGGCATGCTAAAAGATGTGGAGGATGACATGCAAAGAAGAGTAAAGGTATATATGTTTTCTCTTTGATGTAGGGTTTTGGTACACCTCTAAATGTCAGGTTAACTTTACCTAATTACAAATGTGTAGAACCACCTTTCTCCTGTATGTGCTTTGTATTTTTTTTTTTTTTTTTGGTAATGAATTTGAACACTGCTAGAGGAGTTTCTGATAAATGAATGTCATTTTCAAGTATAGCCATCCCTCAGTATTCTCAGGGCATTGGTTCCAGGACCCCTGTGGATGCCAAAACTCAAGGATGCTCAAGTCTCTTATGTAAAATGGTGTGATATTTGCATATAACCTGTTTATGTCCTTCTGTATACTTTAAATCATCACTAGATTACTTATAATATTTAATATGATGTAAATGCTATGTAAATAGTTGTACTTTTAAAATCTGTATTTTTAAATGCTATTTTAAAATTTTTTTCTGGATACTTTCAATCAGTGGTTGGTTGAATCCAACCCATGGATAAAGAGAGATGAGTATATTAAAATTTAACCCACTTGATTCTTTCAACTTTTTGCCGGTGTTTTAGAGTTTTTTTACTATGCTATTTTAAGAATAGTATTTTTCAAAAAAAAAAAAAAACAAAAAGAGTAGTATTTTTCTCCCACTACTGTTTTGAGTTCCTCAAAGGTAAGGACTGTCTTATTCACCTTTGTATCTTTAATAGCTGGTACAGTGTCTGGAACACAGTAGGTGAGCTCAGTAAATGGTAATATGCCAAATCTGGTGAAAACCTTCTAGATGACCTTGATGATTTGCTGCTTTTCATAGAGATTAAAAAGGGGGAAAAGTTGTATTTCTGCCTTTCTTTTTAATGCTAGTATAACAATATGGTTGTCAAACTTCATATTCTCTTTTTTTGATTTTTGCAATTCAGTGAATTGGGCAATTTGACACACATAGTGCTCCACTTTTAGATGAAGAAAATACAGATCAAAGGAGTTAAGTAACCTGTGTCTTAGCTTTACTGAAGGGCACGTAAATGGCAGCTTTAGGGCTAGAACCCACAACTTTTAGTAGCTCTTCCTGTAGTACCGCCCTGGTATTTGGTCAAATAACATTGTCCACTATAACATTTGTATTAAGATATTTTGTATTTTAGTGTAAAACAAATCGGTATTGACCATTGAACTTTATTTTTTCATGATGTGATTTTTGTAAAGGTTACAGTTTTTTTCTAACAGGGTTAGTTTTGAGAGCATCAGGAATTTCAATTAATAGCTCCTTTTAAAGGAAAATGTACTGTGTGTCATATACTTCTGCTTATGTTATTTCATTGTTTTGCTTTTGCTGTTTCAATACTTAATTCTTGTGCATGATCTTTATAATTTATGTCAAAATGACCTTTCTGTATATAGAATAGGAGGAACGTAAATACTAGACACAGCTTTTTTTCTCCAACAATTTTTCCCAAAAACAGATTGTTGTGTATACTCAAAAAATTAGTGTTTTACCTTATATATTTGTAATGTAATATTTTTTCAGGTTTGTGTTTAATTCACCTTTTTTAAAATTTTAGAGTACTCGAAGTCGACAAGGAGAAGAAAGAGATCCAGAAGTTGAACTAGAAGTAATTGAACTTATTTTCTGGTAGATAATATCAGAGAAGTCTACCTGTTAATGTTGTAGTTTTATGAACTGCGTTATAATTTATGGAAGCCCTTTTTAAGGTATTTCTTTAAAAATTGGACATTGCAAGGGATTTTATTTCCCTTGTATTTATTTTGATAGAATGATAATACAGCTCTTTCAAATAGATGATTTCAAAACTCTTCAGTATTCCTGTGAGGTAGGAAGAAAAATATGATCTTTCACAGATGATGCGTCAGAGCTCCACAGTGTCAAAAGTTGCTGAACCTTTGTCGAGATTCTAAATTTTCTGACTCTGCTTAAAGCACATTTTAATCAGTCTTTTTAAAATGCAGATAAAATCAGCTTTTTGAGGTAATAGTGTAACTTTTGACTTAGGACAAGATCAGTCCTGTTGATATAGAAGCTACACATTCCTATTTCAAAAGAATAGGCTTTGTTTTGTTTTCTGCAGCTCATTTTTCAGGCTTTTAAAGGCCTATAAACGAAGGTGTCTGTAATGTAGTACGTTACTAACATTGAGACTTAGGAGTTAATATATTTTAAATGAAATTCCTTTCATGGACTTTGCATCTTTTAACTTCTAGTCCTTTCTTGTTTTTTTAGCACCAACAATGTTTAGCAGTATTCAGCAGAGTGAAATTTACTCGTGTGTTACTGACAGTGCTTATAGCCTTTACTAAGAAAGAGGTAAGGGCATTCGATATCATATGTCTGTTTGTTTTAGTGATTTTGGATGGAATGCCTGAGTGATGCAGTTCTGAAACTTTTCCCTTGAAGTGCTCCTGATCTCAGATATAGAGAACTCAGCATTTGGTGTATTTATACCAGAGTAACCCTGAAGACCTTCTCAAGAAGTATATTTTTTTCACTTATTTGTAAATAATACATTAGAAGCTGAAATTGCTTGTAGGTTGTCATATTTTGTGAATTGAAAAGGAGAAAGTAAAAATTTTAGGACTATTCTTACCTTCAGTTACATAATTAATTGTTAGATTTGTGTAGAACCAAAAGCAAGCCTTAGATGGTGAATATTTTTTCTTTTTTGTATTTTTGCACTAATTCAAGCCAATTACAGATTAATTTGTGAATAGTTTATAAGTGGTGGGTAGGGATCCAATTTTTACCATTAATTTAACTTCTGTAATTCTATTTCTTCCCGGTTTTTTCCCCCTCCCCCCACCTTGATGAATGACATAGAATTGTTGAAAATTTTCTCATTTTCTAGTTGATTGCATCTTTGGTTTTTATTATTAAAAAAAAAAAAGGTAAACCAAAAATATTTTCTATTGTTATAATTGATCCTACAAGTTTTATAGATGTGAGTAAAAAAACCATTTTCTATCCTAACAGGATCTGGACATCCTGTATTAAGTGCATAGTTTATGAAAACCAATGTCATTACAGCAAGCATTTAATTTCATTATTGTTTATAGGATTTTCCTATTTAATGTATATCTTTCAGTGAAAGAATATGTAAGAATGTTTTTGGTGATTTATTTGCTAGACCAGTGCTGTTGCAGAAGCTCAAAAATTGATGGTTCAAGCAGCAGATCTTCTTTCTGCCATTCATAATTCATTGCATCATGGCATCCAGGCCCAGAATGATACTACAAAAGGAGGTAATTGTTCATTTTGCTTCTACTCTTTCTTTTCTTTGTTTCCATCAAAGTATTTAGTGTTTAGCTTGTACTAAAGTTTTTTTCAAGTCAGTCTTGTACCTTGGAATGTTTTACTCCAGAGACTTACAGTGTTTAGGCTCTCCTCTATAAATATATACTACACTAAAAAACAATACTGTACAACTTGGCCATTTCCTGTATATTACTATTTAGACTCAGAATATGTATCCTGTCTTACATTCGAGCTGTGATGTTACAGCCTGACGGGTTCTTCTTGCTGCCCAGAAAAGCCAACACAGTGAGAACAGCAGAGAAGGAGTTTAATTATCATGAGGTCAGCCGAGTGGAAGGATAAGAGCTGTTTCTCAAATCTTCCTCCCTGAGAATTCAGGGACTAGAGTTTTTGAAGAATAGTTTGGCAGGCAGTGGGTGAGCAAGGAGAGGTTTGTTTCAGGAAGGGACAGTTACCATCTTTATTTTAAACTGTAAACTAGATTTGTCCCATAGTTGCTTGGCCTACACCAGGAATGAGCAAAGACAGCTTGTGAGGTTAGAAGCAAGACGGAGTCAGCTATGTCAGGTTTCTCTCATAATTTTTACAAAGGCTGTTTCAGTGTTAACAGTGAATCACCTTTTTCATCACCTCTCCTCTTTACTCTTTTGTCTGAGAGATCATCACTTCCATTACACGTGTTAGAAATGCTTGTTCCCCGGTGCTGTAAAGAAATAGCACTTGAACATAAATTTTATTTCCTCAGCAAGGCCATTTTTACTTTCTGCAGAAAGGGTACACTCGCCAGCAGTTCTGCCGTGAGAGTACACCCAACAAAGGAGACAGGGTCATTTATAACCTGACGCGTCCACCCTACTGCCGTGTCCGGTTTCTGTTGACTGGAACGGGACCTCACATTCTGTATTTGTCCCAATTGCCTAGCAACTTAGAACTTTTTAAAAGAGGCAAAGGCAGAGGAGAACAAAGAAAGGAGGAAGTAACTTGTGGAATGCTGAGAAAGGTAAAAACACCTTCAAATAAGGAAGAAGAACAGTCTATGACCTATTGCTTCCTTGGACCAGTATAAGCATGCCAGGGCAAATATCTGGGCTAAATTATGGGAGCTAAGAACATAAAGTACATTTGTTTCTTTGTTACGGCTAGCAGATATTTAAGAATGTTAGCACAGGTCTTTGAATAAATTTTTCTTCTAAAAGAAGTTACTATTTATTCCTAATTAGATGGAGAGGAAAGTCTTTGAAGAGGAACCTCTACTTTACTTTTTACACACAGTCTACTCTGAACACCAGGCAGGCCTTAGATATTCTCCCTGTTTTGGAAAAACTTTCAGTCTGTATTTTTCCCGTGTTCTCACACCACCACAACAGTCATCAGCACAGAAGACTTGAGTGATCAACTTCTCTTTTTCCACACACACCAGCTGGGTGCCCTCTAATTAAACTGCCATTGAAGGAGTGTTTGTGGTAGTGTGTATGGAAAACAAACTCCAGCCTCTACTGTCTACCTGGAGGTAATGCCAGATCCCACAGGTTGAGGGCTCAGTCCCCAAGACTGCTCGTGCTCCCCAGACACCAGTTCCAAGTCTGGGTTTCCAGAACTTCTGATCTACTGGCTTTAAGTTGGGATTCCCACGACTCTCTTTTTGGTTTCAGCTGATTTGCTGGAGTGACTTACAGAACTCTGGGAAATACTTACTGTGTTTACTGGTTTATTGTGGAGGGCTATAGGATACGAAGGATACAGATGAAGAGATGCATGGGGTGAGGTATGGGTAAGGGTCTTGGAGCTTCCATGCCTTCCCTGGGTGTACTATCTCCTAGGAACCTCGACGTGTTCAGGTATCTGGAAGCTCTCTGAACTGTGTCCTCTTGAGTTTTTACAGAAGCTTCCTTACATAGGCATGATTGATTAAACCTTTGGCAGTTGGTAATCAACTTGACCTTCAGCCTCTCCCATCCCTAGAAGTTGTGGGGTGGGGCCGAAAGTCCCAACCCTGTAATCCTGCCTCTGTCTTTTTGGTTATGTGCCCTACCTACCCTGAAGCTGTCATTCGCATACCAAAAGACAGCACTTGGAGAGTCTAAGGATTTTAGGAGTTACCTTAGGAAGCAAGAAGAAAGACCAAATACATATTTCATAATGTCACACCTGCTGTGTTCTCACTGCATTCATACAGGCCTCTGTTATATTTTTTTTAGTACATTGTATTTTAGTTTTTTACCCATTTGTCTTTCCATGAGATTTTGAGCACTTTTAGCCCAGGCACTTTCTTCTTGTGTATTGCCATGCTTGGCATGTTGTTGGCACTCAGATTTTATTTATGAACTATGCCTTAAAAAGAATAGTGTACCTCTGTTGTAAAGTTTACAGTGGGTTAATATTTTAGATAATGTGTAACAATTTTGATTGTCCTTAAAACTCATTACAATGGGATGATATTTATATCCTTTTTTTTCCCCCTCAACGACTTGGCCATTCCAGTAGAGATGAAGAGAAATTTATATGCTTCAAATTAGTGTTACCCAGTTGTCGGTCTTGTAACCAGAAAAGCAAATTTTTACTGATTCATACCTCACTCCTTTTCCACACCTATCCTCCATTTAGAGACAGGCATTGTGTTCCTCTTCCCATACATTTTTCTTTCCTTACTAAAATGTTAGGTAATAGAGCAACCCAGAAGGTAATTTGGGTTAGGAAATGAATATTGTCATAATTTTTATGTTTCTACTAGTTGTGCTAAATTTGTATTTATTTATCATCATTTTCACTTTTTCCAAAAGAGGGAATGTGTTTATAGGATGAATGACTAGGTGGCATTCTGTACCATGGGACATAAGGAGGTGGTTATGCATAGCAATGTAGTAGTACATGTTTACAGAGAGGGATAAAATGTCCACAACTCTTAAATGCTTTGAAATCTACAGCAGTAATACTTTTATGAAAACCACTGTATAATAAATGACTTCAAAGTAATTTGTTGGTTTGTGTATCAACAAGATCTTGAAAGCAAGAATCTTCCGGATGATTGGAATCTGGGTGTTTCTTTTTGCCATGTCTGACTACTCCTGGTCTATTCTGCTCTGTATTTGTAATCAAGCAAACTCTTCAGATGATAATTTCCATGGGATCATTAGTAGATACAGCTTGTGACTTTCCTATATTTCGGACCTTGTGCATATGATCACCTCTATTACTCTGGTTTTATAGTATGCCGACAGGCTTCAGGAAAATTGTTTACATAAAATTGGCTTGAATAAACCTTTAAACAATGTAATCTTATGACTAAGCAAGCGAAATTTTAAATTTAAGAACTACTCACCCTGTGCTTGTGTGTGTAATACCTTTTAGCTGGCGTAATTTAACTTTGTAATTATCCCTTAATCATAAGCCATACAATTCTATAATAAAAAAGTTAATGCCTTCTTAATGTCTATTCTAGTAGAAGAATGATGAGAAAATAGTAGTATAGATTAGTTTTGGTCTCTACTCATTTTGCCTTCCGATTATATTACAACTCCAACTGGTGACAAAATGGCTGTGTAAATCCTGAAATCACTGAGCATTCATTTTAGCTTCTCATTGAAAGGTATATATTCAGTACGAATTGTAAACTGGCATTAAGGGAGAAAGTAGGAATAATGAGACTTGATCTGGGAATTACTTGCTGGTGCATTTACTCAATGCATAGTAATATCTTTATGAAGATGCAGAATACAAAAGCGGTTTTGGAGGTGGATAAGGAGGGCAGCTTACTGATAATGGGATTTTTTGATGTGGTTACATGGAGCACTGTAGTAGTAAAGTAAGTATAGTAAATATTTGGCCCTGGAAAATGGATAGAAAAACAGATTTAGGAGTCATTTTCAGTGCTTATTGAGGGAGTAGATGTGTTTACTTGGGACTTGCTGGATTCAAAGATGTGACCTTGGGTTATATCGTTGTTGAGGGAAGAAAGGAGCAAAAAAATCCAGTGAAACGGTTGTTTTTCTTTGTTTTTGCTTGTGCTGTCTTGAATTTTATGGTTCTTTTTTTATATATCTGTGGAAGTTTAGCTCATCCTTTAAAACGATGTTCACATCATCTCCTCCAGGGAGACTTTCCTGGTTCTGTTTGTCAAAATATTTTTTTCTTTCCCTGTTTGCTCATAGTTATCTGTGAATTGATTAGATTATGAGCATCTTTAACAGTTGCCAATGGAAATAATATATTTAAATTTATGTTGCCTGAAATTAGTAGATACTCTTGGGGATTGTATTTTCAAATCTAACACACAGTTTCAAGAGGACTTGTCATCTTTTAAAAATAAATTAAAAGATACCTGAATAAACTTGGTGGGTTGAACACATGTATTTGCTTTCTGAAATCCCAAAGAAGCAATGAAGAAGTGATTTTTTTCTTTCAGAGCATAATTGATAAAGATGGAAAAGACAGGGAAAGGGGAAAATAGCAACAAAGTTATTTTAGAAACTGGAAAACAGAAGGAGATTGACTTACCTATCTACAAATAACTGTATTTTTAGCCACTGATAGAGGACGTCAAAGGCAGCCCAGTTGAAACTGTGGATCTCCTGAAGGCTGCATTATTAGCTTGCCAGATACTTCTAGAAATGGGTATGAGAAATTTAGCTGAAAACATGAGAACTGGTTAATAATCTGTTCAGAAGCAGAAATTTCTTCCCCCTTTTTGCTGAGTGACATTCCTGAACCTCACAATACTAAAAGTTTATTCTCTGGAGGAAGGGGACAGAGGGATTCTGTACTTGAGGGTATATGAGGCCCAGTTGAAAGGGTACACATTATGAGAGAGTTAAATGAAAGTTAAGTAGTTATTATTGTGACCTACTTTCTTTCCCCATCTCTCCTTTCCTTGCTCCACTCTGCTTTCAGAACAGTGTAGCCAGGCACATGCTCTCCACTTGAGTTTAGAAGGTTCTTCTTAGGGAAATCTGACAAGTACGAGAGGTGAGGAAAAACAACAGCAAAATCT